TACACATGGTGGTAACTGTGCGGGAAATGGTAATTTAAATTGAGGATATGGTTGATGTCTCAAATGAGATAAACTAGCCGATCGGGTCGAGATCGGACTCCGTGGAAGAACACGGTGGTACTGTGGATTGTGGCATATCGGCACTAAAGATCACCCAACCTAATAAGATGGAAATTGACTTGAGAACTTATATGATCCTTACTTGATGTTTTAGTATTGTTTCAAGCTCTTATTGAACTCATGACTGTTCCCCCCTTGTATTATTGTTCATTCTATTGAGATGGTGTTTTAGCTTTACATACTAGTACTATTCGACAGTACTAATGTCCCTTTTGCCGGGGGCTCCGCATCTTTAAATGGATATAGGTGGTTCCATAGCAGACAGTGTTGATCGCAGTTAATAGTGCATCCTCTTCCCAGCAGACTCGGTGAGTTCCATTTCATCCCGGGGTCATGTACTGTATCTTTTGTTCATATTTTTACCACGTTTTGAGGTATAGCCGGGGCCTTGTTTCCAGCATTAGCATAACTCTCTTTTATATCTTTAGAGGCTCCGTAGATACTATGTGGGTTGCATATGGTTGTTAGAAAGGTCAACGGATTATGTTGTGTTTTAAACTCTTGTTCCACTCAATCATAAGAATGTGTGTATCTTGAAACTTAACAATGTATGTAACTAATGAAATGATTTAGTAATGTATATATGATTTTCCTATTGTCTAATTAATGAAAACATGCCCTCTCTTGATCATAAGTGAGTCGGGTAGAAATTGACTAACAGACTTGCTTGACCGGGTTCACTCGATTGAGCGTCGGTCACACTCCCCGATGTTTGGGCGTGACAGCTAATTTCTGGTGTGTCTGTAAAGCATCACAATCGCAGAGCTAGGCTCGCGATCGAAAATCTGGAGCTGGGTAATTTCTTCATCGTGTTTGCGGACTTGTGGTCGCTTCGCATAGCTTTGTGAGGATTGATCATCGCGGTCGCATTTTAATACCGCGTTCGTGTAGAGTCGCGAAGGAGAGCTTGGGGGCTGGTGGATCCTTAATGGTATTCGCGTAAGTCTTATCACATTCACGAAGCATTGGTGTCTGTTGTCATCAAGTTCACGCTACCAGTATCGCGAGCGCCTAGAGCTTTTTGGGGGCAGTAGTATTTGTTCTTCGCGATCGCGAAGGAAATCCCACGATCGCGATGGGTATTGATGTTCAGTGATTATAAGTACTCTATTTCGAAGGTTTCGCTCATTTAATCATATTTTGAGCTATGGAGCTCGGATTTGGGCGATTTTGGAGGCGATTTTCACCACATGGATTGAGGTAAGTGTTTTCTACTCGGTTTTGATTATATTCCGTGATTCCATCTTCGATTGGCATTTGATTGATGATTTCAAAAGAGAAATTTGGGGTTTTTGTCTAATCTTCCCTAAAGTAAATTTTTGAGTTTTGAACATCAATTCAGAATCGGATTTGAGTGAAATTTGTATGGTTGGATTCGTAAATGAATGGGTTGTCAGATTTTGTGAGTTTTGTCAGGTTCCGAGGTGTGAGCCCGAGTTTGACATTTTGGTTGACTTTGAATAAATGAGTAAAGATTTGACTTTTATCATTTGGTATTGTTTCGTTAGGCATTATTTGCTATTTTCTAGTTGCTTTTGGCTAGTTTCAAGCCATCTGAGGTTGATTTGCGTGGGATTGCGTTTCTAGAGTGTTGTTTGGCTTGCTAGGTATTAGATTTGGCTTGTTCGGGGTAGGTAACTTATCTAATCTTGGATTTGAGGATATTAACCCAGGGAACTATGTTATAAGAGATGTATTGGAGTGACGCACATGCTAGGTGACGAGCTTGTGGGCGTACACCGGGGTAAACATGATTCAAGTTGACTATTAGACTATGACCGAACTTGTGTTCCTATTATTTTGTTTTATTCGTGAATTCCTTACTTGCTAGAGTAATTGAGCTGTGATTCATGTTAGAAATCATTTTTAGACTATGTGCTTATTCAGCTGAGACTAATGAGGTTATTTCTATTCTTTTGAGTTATCTACTTTAACTGCAATTACATATACTTAGTCATGGTTCATCATTTGCATATCACATCTCAGTCTCTGTTCATCATTCATTGTTACATCACATGTTATCATGATTTGGGTTGAGTGGTACGAGATTTGTAAGCCCTTGAGACTTGAGATATTGATGACTGAGGTGAGCCTGAGAGCCGTGCTATGAGTGATTATTGTGGATCGGGCTACATGCTGTAGGAGGCCATATTGGCTTTACTATTATTTATTATCGTGGATCAAGTTGCACGCCACAGTAGGCCTTATAGTCTTTATATTAGTGCTTGGGCAGGATCCGCCCCTTCGGAGTCTGGCATACCAGCAGTGAGCGCAGGTAAAGTGATATATATATATATATATATATATATATATATATATATATATATATATATATATATATATATATATATATACGTGCTTTGGTGGGGGGCTTATGAGCCAGGCACTCGTGCAGTGCTGAGTGATTGTGTGTGTGTATGATGAAGTGGGCAATTGAGACAGACACCTTGAGTATGTTAAGAGTGAGAGTACCTGGGAATATCGCCGTGAAATCATTCGTTTGACATGCATACTTGGCATGTAAGCATAGAGATGCATCTTCCTCATGCTAGACGGTATTGTGACATTCATGATTTGACATGTACATTTGACATGTTGGCATAGAGATGTATACTCCTCATGCTAGACGGTATATAGTAATTGATGACTTGACATGTATATTGACATGTAAGCTTCATCATGCTAATTGGTAAACAGAAATTCTTATCTGGTGTTGTGAATTTGAAATACAGTTCTATTGATAAACTCATGTTTAGTTGATTTTTAGTTGTAATATCTGGACTTGACTGTTATACCTAGAAAGTGTCTCTACTTTTTCGTAACTATGAACAAGCTGAGCATAATATCTTTGAGCTATTACTTTTACTGCCTCCATTATATTATTATGAGTTAATATTGGCTATTGGTGTTGGACACTGACCTTCTTTCGAGCTCATCACTGCTTTCAATCTAAGGTTAGGTTTGTTACTTATTGAGTACATGTGGCCGGTTGTGCTCATACTATACTTCTGCACCTTGCGTGCAGATTTTGGAGTTGATGTTGCTGTGTATGGCGGGAACTGGCATTGAAGATGATGCGTCCCGATTATAGCTGCCTCTTGTTCTTGGTAGCTTTAGTTTTATAAATCTGTTTATGTATATTTCGAACAAATGATGTATTTATTTCGTACCAGCTTTGTAAATTCTAAGTCCTAGAAGCTCATGACTTGTACTACCAATCCTTGGGATTTTGTATAGAAAGCTCAATTATTTTATTTATTGATTCATGTTATCCTATTTGAGTTGTGTTGTCTATCATTTGGCTTACCTAGCGGGATGGGTTAGGTGCCATCACGACTAGCTGAATTTTTTGTCGTGGCAGCAGGCCCCTATTGGTCAACCTTTGATTAGATGATAAGTTATTTACCGAGCCTACTGTGGTTGAGTGCTTATGAGAGCCTAGAATGGCCGAGATACCGAGCCTAGAATGGTCGAGCGCCTATGAGAGAGCCTACTACGCCTAGTACCGAGGCTTATAGGGTCGGGCAGCTATTTTACTTACTATATTGAGAGAGTTGAGTCAGTATCAACAGGTAAGCATATCTTCAGATCATCTTTGACTCCTAGTTACTTTCAATTATTATATTATCAGTTAAGTTTCTGCTTTCAGTTATTCTATTGCCTTACATACTCGGTACATTATTTTGTACTGACGTCCCTTTTGCCGGGGGACACAACATTTCATACGTGCAGATCCTGATTGACAGCTAGATAGGCCTTCCCAGTAGACAACCAAACATTGCTTGATTGGTAAGCTCCACTCCCCCGGAGTTACCAGGTCTAAACTTTGGAGTCCACTTTATTTATACAGATTTGATGGGCAGGTCGAGGCCCTCTCCCGACCATGATACAGTTCAATTATCTCTAGAGGCATGTAGACGAGTCATTTATATTTTGTGTATCACTATTATGGCCTTGCCAGCCCTATGTACATGTTCAGTTTGGTATTACTGGTAGTAGACGTTCATGGCGGCTTCGTCGGCCTGCACAGTCATGTATATGAGATTTTGCATATGTCTACCTCTCGGATGAGATAGATGCTAGTTTCAGATGATTCAGAATATAACCTCGCCGGCCTTGATTGGTATTGTCAGCTTGCAAGTAGGCCTCGTCAGCCTAAGTTGAGGGTTACCCCTCCAGAGTTTGCAGTTACAGAGTGGTACGCTCAGGTCGAGTATGACATTGGGTGCCGGCCACGCCTCCCGAGGTTTGGGGTGTGACATACCATAGAGTTTTTTTTGAGTTATCCAACAAGATAGCTATGTTGGATATAGCATGAAGTCCTATCGATTTATCATGACATGCATGCCATCATTTTGAAATGTATGTTTCCTTTTGTAGCTTTGAAATCTTCAAAAAAAGAAAGCATCGGAAGTAAAACTTTGAAATCATGACAATCAAGTAGCGTTTGTTCATTATCCTACCGAATTGGCATGACTGCCTGTGAAACCACAGCCTCATGGCAACAGACAAGCATAATTAGTACCCCATCTATAATACTAGGAAGCAACAAACAAATCCTCAAACGTCAAAGACTAAAAGCCTAATAGAGAAAATACAAAATTTAAGAACTAGGAATATAGAGGGGTGGAACAGTGAAACTGATCCGCTCTGAGCTTATCCCTTCTATTCAAAGGCTTCATCATCGTCATGTTGAAGTGGCTGAGCGGCTGCTTGCAAAAGTTCTTGAGTATTTTAGTCCGAATATTTTCATTAAACTTGGACCATATTTGCACAAATGTCAAGAGCAGGCACAAAATCCAAATATCAGCACAAAAATATACTATTTGTATAAATTAGAGTGGCATATGAATGGAAAAACTGGCTTTCAGCTGCGCACATTAAGCAGGCAAACGTAACAGATTAATGCTGAAAAAATTAACTCACTAAATTGCCTCTAATGGTACTCATTTGACATCTTGCTTCAAAATGGCTTCCGAAAGATCCTAGTTTCTGATGATAATATAACAGTTACATAACCAGTAAATATAAAAGAAAAAGGAAAAAGGAGGGGAAAAAAATGAATACTAATCGCCTCACAGCACATCAAGTATGACTACATTATACTCGGATACAAAAATAGCTCAACTGATGTAAACTTGCTCCATCTCCAGAAGTGGAAAGTCTTCCTATGCATCTTCTGCCTGCTTATATTCAGCATCCCAAGTTAGAGTTAACTTCATACAGCAGCTGTCTCTTCAATTATTCCTTCCTTGGCTTCCTTAGCTTCCTCGCCTAGAGTAAATCGGACGAACCTCCTAACTTTAATGTTCTCTCCAAGGGCGGCAACAGTTTGCTTTACCAAATCCTTCACCAAGACACTGTCATCTTTTATGAAAGGCTGCTCCAAAAGAACAAGCTCTCCAAGCCTCTTCGAGACCCTGCCCTCAACAATCTTCTCCCTTATATTTTCAGGCTTGTTCTTAAGATCTTCTCTCTGCATTTCCAACTCCTTTTCCTTGTTGACAAGGCTTTCTGGAATCTCATCAATTGATACAAACTGCACCTGAGGGCAGGCTGCAACTTGCATTGCCAAATCATCGACAAATTCCTTAAAGGTTTCACTTCTCCCCACAAAGTCGGTTTCACAATTAATTTCAATTAGCACACCAATTCGGGAGTCATGAATGTATGAACCAATCCTCCCCTCAGCAGCAAGTCGGCTGGACTTTTTATCAGCAGTCGAAAGACCCTTTTTTCGGAGGTATTCTTGTGCCTTTTCAAGATCCCCTCCTGTTTCGGAGAGAGCTTTCTTGCAATCCATCATCCCAGCTCCAGTTTCTTCTCGCAGCTGTTTAACCAAAGAGGCTGAAACTGCTGCTTTTGGAGGCCTGCATTAACATCCATTAAACATAAACTAATCGTGAGAGATAAAAAAATATATGGTTTTTTTGGGGTTCAAAACAGGTTAGGACAAAATATCGGCGTGGAGTAAGATGAGAAACAAACTCTGATAAATTATTTCAGATTACCTCTTCCATAATGCTGCTGGAACCAGATTTCATTTGAAATAGATAAAGTAAAATGTGTGCTTAGGTTTAGAAGATTGCATAAGCACCTTTTGAGCCTAAAAACATAGCAGAAAACTGAAATTCTCATATAATAATGAAAAGTTGTGTAACAACAATTAGCCAGCTGAAAAAGGGAAATTATAATCTGAGTCGTCAAGAAATTATACACATTTCTGGTTGCTCAGAGTTTGAAGAAACGTAATAAATTGGTAAGAAGTAATTCTCAAGAAATTAGAAACATACTCAACAGTAGTCTCCTTGGCTTCAACAGCAGGTTGCTCTTTTCCTGGTGAGGCGACAGGTTTAGCTGCTGTTTGAGCAGCCACCTCTGCTGCAAAGTCTTGGCTCTTCTTTTCAAGACCTTCTCCCAGGTTGTATCTCACAAATCTCTTCACTTTAATGTTTTCACCAATCGTTGCAATTGTCTGCTTGACCCAGTCCTTTACCACCAACTTATCATTCTTAATGTAAGGTTGCTCCAGTAAGGCCAGTTCTTCAAGCCTCTTATTTATCCGCCCATCAACGATCTTGGATCTGATCTGCTCAGGTTTTGACAATAGATCTTCCTTCTGCATCTCGATTTCTCTTTCCTTGTTGATGATCTCCTCTGGAACATCTTCTGGAACAAGATACTGCACTTGGGGGTATGCAGCCACTTGCATGGCTAAGTCATCAACTAATTCCTTGAAAATGTCACCACGCGATACAAAATCTGTCTCGCAGTTAACCTCTACCAGGACACCGATTCTGCTGTCATGGATGTATGAGCCAATTCTACCTTCAGCTGTAGCTCTACTTGATTTCTTATCAGCACTTGCCAACCCCTTTTTCCTGAGATACTCCTGCGCTTTAACAATGTCACCTCCAGTTTCTGAAAGAGCATTCTTGCAGTCCATCATTCCAGCTCCTGTCTCTTCACGCAATTGTTTCACAAGAGCAGGTGAAATAGCTGCCACAATACCACAGAGGGCAGGATTTAGTGGAGCAGACATGCATTTCAAAGTACTATTTCGCTATAACAGTACCATCAAATAATTATGATGGATGACAATTTTACTTTATTTCAGTTTATCCAAATTCGCATTACAAAGAGATAGCTTGGCGGAATAAGTCAATTAGACCAACAAAAAGAAGGTCAAGAGACAAGAAAGCAGAGGATGTTGGATGGCCCTACAACCGTAATAGAGTATCTGAACATAACTAATCCCATTAACAGATTCTAGACGGACTGAAAGGGGTAGAGTCAGGAAGAAATGAATAGGTTAAATTTTACAAAACTACAGATTTCACCTACACAGGCAAACTAGTGATCCACTCAGATTTCAACAACCAGTAACGTTAAATATAGACATCACCCATCCTCATTGTCAGAATTTATATTCATACATCAAGACTTTCCACAAGTCTGACCTTTTGTGACACAATAAGGAAAGAGTCAACCTGAACTTTCTGGATATTAGTACTCAAATTCTCTTCAAGATTTATCTCTAGCAGCAGTTTTTATCACTTAGTTCCTTTATTCATAAATGTTCCCAGTAAATAAATTACAACTTACCATGTTTCAAGAGGATAACCACTGAATTAAATCCTCTTTTGTCCTATATGCATACACACACACACACACACACACACTTTGTGTGCTCTCTTCCTCTCCCTCTGACCCGACTAGCTTGGAATTGCAGCGTAAAAGTAGTAGCTGTTTGGATAAGCTATATAATGTATTAGATCTCTTGTAAGGGTGAAGCCTGCAATCTGTTATCTTTAGTGATGCTACATTCTTTTTTTATTCCTTAAGGAAAAAAGAAAAAGACGAAAGAATCTACTGTGACTAAAGATTCGATGAGCAGGGAACTGTGTTTGTAGCACAAATCTCATCATTGGTGTTTTCATACTCCCAAATCGAATGATGAAGGCAGTAGAACGAGCAAATTTTACCATTGTTGGGGACGAAATATTTGGGATCAAATAAAGATATAAGCTTACGATAGATTTGAGATTTATAAGTACAACGTAGGTAGAGAGAAGAAGTTCTCTTCAATTTGGAGTCTCCTTCATCACAAACTCTGAATGATGTTTACCACTTTAATTAATGATCAAAGAAACAACTAATGTAGCTACTTTAGAACCAGAACTTGAGTTTTTCTGGTTCATAGTTTCAGTGACATATTTAGCATGCAGTCAGGTGTACATGTGTAAAAAATCTATCCTCTAATGCAACGTCTTTCCCCAAGTAGTAGGTAAACGACCACCCCTTGCAGCTGTGACAAGCTTCTAAATCTTTGTCGCACAATTATTACAGCACTCGGTGTTGAAATTTTCACATCATACCTACTTAAACAAATGTTTGGCAACTAGATCCACAAATTTTACTCTAGAGATTCTTATTTCCACTTTAACATGTTAACGACAGCTATATTCCAGAAAAGAAAGGGAAAATAAAGGCAAAACCTTTTGCTGCGGCTTCATTTGATAAAGCAGTCCCATTTTGCTCATTTGAGTTCGTAACATTTCTATCTTGCTCGCAAAAAAATGATGTTTACCACTTCAATTAATGAACAATGAAACAACTAAATGTAGCTGCACTTTATAACGAGAACGTTTCTGGTTCACAGTTTCAGAGACATATTTAGCATGCAGTCAGGTGTACATGTGTAAAAAGTGACTATCCTCTAATGCAACGTCTTTCTCCAAGTAGTAGGTAGACGGCCATCCCTTCCGGATGCAACAAGCTTCTAAATCTTTGTCGAACATATATTACAGCACTCAGTGCTGAAATTTTCACATCGTACCTACTAAACAAATGTTTGGCAACTAGATCCACAAATTTTATTCTTATTCCCAGAAAAGCAAGGGAAAATAAAGGCAAAACCTTTTACTGCGGCTTCATTTGATGAAGCAGTCCCATTTTGCTCACTTGAGTTCGCAACATTTCTATCTTGCTCAGCAGCGGTAGCCACCTCTTCCTGTTGAGCAGATGTATCAGATGATTGGTCCTCTATGGAAGGAGTATTTTCAACTATACTCTCCACAACTTCAGCGCCTTCCTGACTTACTGTATGCAAAATTGGATTGTCAGCTAGTTTCTTGGTGACACGTCATAAATTTATCTTTCTCACATAACACAACATTATGTCCTTAAGTAAATTTCAAGATTTGCCCAAAGCAAGAAGATGATTCTCTCTCAATATGTCAATCAAACCTAAAAGCACATGTTTTGGTCAGAAAGCACTCTATAGATAAAATTGGAGACTGTGTAAGGACTGAACAAGATGCAATAGGATGAAGCAACAGAAGAATAATATACCAAACTTTCAACATGAACTATACCAGAAGTGCCTTTGCTTACCACCCATCTTTTCCACAGATAATATGTAAAGTGTACGTATATCATGCATCAACACCTTATTTTGGAATCACACATTTGGCGGCTCAGCAATGTAATAATTGTATCTGGTTGTTTGTCACAAATATGCATGCAAGAAGCAAGGATGTGAAATGAGTAATAAATCAGAGGGGAAATAGGAAAGTTTCATAGTAGAAACCTTCATCCTTGCTATTCTCCAAAAGAGCTTCAGATTGTCCAGCTGGGCTTGGTATACTTCCATTCTCATCGCCACTAGGTTCCTCTGTTTCTTTGGCAGCTTCTGTGACACTTGCTATTTGAGTTTCAACCTCATTTTTCGATACTGCATCATCAATTAGTTTCTCCACGACCTCCTCGCCAGCCACAGTTTCAGATGCTGAAATCTGATCAGCTATTTGCTCAGATGAGCCAGTTTCAGCTACAGGTTCCACAGCATCTCCAACAGGTGACGCCTCAGCTTGCTGACCAATGGTGGATGTGCTTCTTTCAGGAGTAAAATTTTCAGAAATTGACTCCGCTTCTTCATCAATGTTTGGTTTTGTATCCTCGTCATCTAGAGTTTCAGGAACACCATCAATTGCAGCATTGACTGATTCTTCCTCTTTGCCTGTAGTTTCAGGCAAGACATCCGTCTTATCAGCCGCCACATCTGCTTCCTCTACATCTTCCTTTGATTGTTCAGCTAGTTCCTCCTCTTTTTCCCTCTCATCCAAAAATGAAGAGATTTCTTCATTGCTACGGAAAGCCAAAACAAAAGGATTTGTCGCCGAATGGACAACACCCTGGTTGAGCTTTGAGTCCAACTCTGAAGCAGCTTCTTCTTTTTTCATAGTCAAAGTTACCTGTCCTCTGGTAATGCGTAATACACGGACACTAACTTCTTGACCTACTTGTAGTGAAGAGCCACTGTCGATAATTCCAAACGCTTCATCAGCTTCCTCTGATGCAGGCAGGAATCCTTCCTCTCCTTCAGGAAGAGATATAAAAGCACCAGATCTGGCTAAATTTTTTACAGTGCCCTCAAGATCTTGCCCTTTGACAAACTTCGAGACTTTCTTAACCTCATCTCTCCTTTGGTTGTTCCTTTGTGTGTTCTTCCTTGGAGTTCGGGGTCTGTCACTGCTGGTTGGAGCATCTTTCTGTTGCTGAGGCCTACTAGGATCATCACTTTCACGCATGGTGAGAGATATGCGCCCAGTCTCAGTGTTTGCTTCAACTAATCTCACTGTCACCTCTTGTCCAACGGATACAATGCTTCCGACATCCTTTACAAAACTATCACTCAACCTAGAAACATGCACAAGCCCATCTGTAAAAGCTCCAAAATCAACAAAAGCGCCAAATGGCTGGATTGATCTGACCTTTCCAGTAAAAGTTGCACCCGGAATAAGATCTTCATTCTTCACAGGGGGCATCTCACTTTTCCTAGCAGGTCTTGTACGCTTAGATCGAACAGACGTTTCTTCACTTGTGTTAGAAGCATCGGATGAAGCTTTTGAGGCTTCACCTGATCCATCATCTGTAGCAGCTGATTCTACTTCTTCCACTGCTACACCAGTTTCAGTTGCTGATACTATGAAACCTCTTAATTTAGGTCGTAAAATGCAACCAACTCTAAAATGGGGAAACAATTTAGCAGATGTTGACAGAGGCAGGTTATATTTTGGGGTAGGTAAAGACTGCTTGCTCGATTTCCGCAAAACATTGCATCTTGATAAACATGTGTTCTTTCTCGTGATAAAGACAGCTCCTGGAGTAACTGAAACATTGCTAGTTGCAATTGGAACCATTGGAGCCACGTTGATTTGAGTTGTGTCAAAGATTTGTGAACTACAAGGATTGGGTCATCTGTTTCGCACCTGCGAAGTAAATGAAACGGTTAGAGAAAGAAGAAAACATGACTGTCATTCAATGTCATAATATTGTGATAGCAATTGCACCATGAGCCAAAAGACTATGAATATATAGAAAACCAGCAAAGCCCAGGGTAATATAGTACTAGAGTTCATTAAATTGATGGGTAACGGCATACGTTTAAACTTTAGCCATCTAGGCATGTGTCTGCTAATTGATCGAAAAGCACACACAAACAACATAATTTAAAGATGGATTTGTACTTAAACATCAAGATTGTGGTTGAAAAATTATTACTCCCTCTGTTCCGGTTTATGTGACCTTATTTTCCTTTTAAGTCCATTCCGAAAAGAATGGTCCCTTTCTAAATTTGGAAACAATTTAACTTACACTTCCCATTCTATTATCAATGACAAGCTTTTATAGCCAAACAATTGGATGGCACGTTTAAGACCACAAGTTTCGAAAGTCTTCTTTCTCATTCTTAAATTTGGTGCTCAGTCAATAGCTTCGCATAGGAGGGAGTATAAGCAATTCCAAACTCTAAAAACTCTTTCTATTCCAGTTAGTTTGTTTAACATGTAGATCAGCAGCTTAGAAGAACTCAAATTCATTAAAAAGAATGAAAGAGCTGACAAGCCAACTCTCCACATATCAGATGTAAAATGAATGTATCTCATAAAAAGATAATTCACAAATGCAATTCAATATGATATATTTTGAAACAACCAAGTAAAGTCGCTGATTATCTCACCAGAAATTTATCTTTAACAATTCAATAAACCAAAACCAACATGAGACTGAGTTACCTTTCAATTAAAAGATTCAATGGCACAGTTACACGAAGAACTTAAACCATTTTCACACAACAACTCGCAAATGAAGGTAAAAATAGAAATTCAAAAGAAAGGAGTAGAAACTAAAAACAGAAGGTTTAAGGACAAACCCAGCTTTGAAGTTGTTTTTGCTGAGGTGATAGGGGTGTTACACTCTCTCTCTCTCTCTCTCTCTCTCTCTCTCTCCCAGTTTCTGAGTTCAATGTGTGAGAGTGAGTGAATGAATGAGTATATGGCTAATAAAAAAGAGGGAAACGAAAGGTGGGGCTTTCTATCCTTATCCGACCATCATCTCTTTCTCAAAGACTATGCTGCTCTCCTCGATCGGGTCGGACAAGGGTTCGTTTTGCGTCGGATTTCGCATCCTGCAACCAAACCCGCAATCCGGCCCTTGGCAATTTTGGGCAAAGTAAGTTATGATAGCTAATACTTAATTTTTTTGAATTTAAATTTTAAAAAAAATGAAATTATGCATTATATTTAATGTAAATTTAAAATATACTTAACCGTTCTTTTTATGAAAATAATAATTTTTTATATATTTAAAATTATTTTTATTTTATGTTCAATGTTATCTTTCAAGTTTAGCACTTAGAATCATCTTGTTACAACTATCATGGCTGTACAACGACATTCATCTACCGATTAGGAATTCAACTATTATGCTAATGAAGATACTACTGCAGAGATTGAGGAAAGAGATGAGCCTTCTGGTATTCCTTTAGAAATGCAAGGCAAGTATTCTACTAATATGGAGGCTTTGTATGATAGAATTAGAAATGAATTTGTTGAGAAATATTATCATGTGTGAGTGACTTTGCTTATTATTTCATGGTGGATTATCAATATATAGTAATTTTTGGAATAGACTTCTAACTCATACTGAATGATGACAATATAATAAGTATTTATACTAGATACTAGATAATATTATATGCTTTGGTATAACTATATATGTNATATATATATATATATATATATTATTGATTTAAATCTTTAATATGTATGTTTATTTTATGTTGTATATTTTATTTAAAGAAAATAAAAAATAATAAAAGCCTCTCGCGATAAAAATTTAAGTTCATTTTAAGAAAAAATAATAATTATAAGGCCTTGGTACTATCCTTTTTGATAATTCGACACTCAAAAGCACATTTTAGAAATATTTTTCAAACATAATTTATTTACCAAATATTACAAAAAGTACTTCTTAAATTAATTGGCCAAACACAAACTATTTTTTTTCATAAGTACTTTTGAAAACAAGCACTTCCGAAAAAAAGTATTTTTCAAAATAAGCAGTTTTTGGCAACTTGGCCAAACGGTCTCTTAATCTAAAAGACGCTAAACTCCAAAATAACGACCAACACCTAATGCCCTAACTATAAACGGAAGAGCAGCTCAAATTTTGATAAAATTTCACAAAAGATTAGCACACAAAAAATTGAGATTACACTAGCAAATACTGTAGATCACAGAATTGTTGTTGAAGATTTGAAGATCGCGATCTAAAGCCTGAAAAAAATAGAGTGATAGCAACTGAAAATCCGACTTTTTTCTACTCAAATTATATTGAAGTGAAAATATTTTCAATCTATTTGAATCATAGTAGCTGATATGAGTTCGAAGATGTTGAAACTTTTGCTGCTCAAAATTCGCATCGTGTTGTTCATATTTTGATTTTTGAGACTAAAGAAGTTTAGTGCTCAAACTTCTGAATTTTTAACTAAAAATTATGTTCTTAGTCTGGAGATCTAGATATCTGGAGGTTTGAATCATAGCAAATGATTTGAGTTGAAAAAATTTGTTGTTGAAATTCACTATTTCACATTAACAGTGTTGAAATTTGCACTGTCGAGATTCAATTTTGGACATAAAAGCAGTTCAGCGCTCAAGTTGTGTAAAAGCATCGAACAAAAACTGATTTTTAACTGAAATTCTGTTGTCAATTTGGAGATCTGAACATCTTGAGGAATATATATCATAGCAGCTGATTTAAGTTGTATAAATTTCCTACTCAAATTTACTATTTGACATTAAGAGTGCTGAAAATAGCACTACTAAGATTCAATTTTCGAGATAAAAGCAGTTTAGTTTGATAATCTAAGTTGAGACTTTGTAGAACCATGGAAAATATACCAATTTTTTTGTAGCACAACGAAGAATGTGATGATAACTTTAATTTCATAAACTTTCATGTGCATGCCCATTTGTGAAATAAAAAATAAAATTTCATTTCCCCCTTCCCCACTCCATGTACGAATAAAGTGCGAAAGGGGGAGTAGTAATAAGTCATATGGAATCAATGGATTCATGATAAAGTAAAATCCCTCGATGACATATTTTATCACAATTAATATTTTTTGGCTGATAGAGGGATCAAATGGTATATAGTTCATTTGTTGGTAGCTTGGAGGATTAAAAGCATGCAATTCTAATAAAGACCTGTTGGAAATTTGAACAACTTCTTAGAGAGATTGTAAAACTGCTACAGAAGGACAATAGCACTATAGTTATTCAGTATGATATTGCTCAATGATATTTGCCAATTACAATTTGCAGCGATATGAGCGTTAGTGTTTACATGGAATTGAAAAAATTAAACGCAAGATGACAACACTCCCACTATGTGTGTTGTTTGCTAAAAATACTATAGATGCAAGCACCTCCAATGTCGATGTTGATACAACTTCATTAGAAATTGCACAATTTGAAACCAGTGATGTGATCAACACTTTATATGTGCAAGAAGGAGATGACACCTATAACTACTCGGTCGGTCATTTTGTGCATTGCAGCCCATTCCCCTATTTTTTGCCTTCTCTATGTTCATTTGTGGTTATGTGACTTACCGGGATGGTTGGATTAGTTTCGGGGAAGTTTTCGTAATGACCCGGCCGATCGTTTTGAGAGTAATAGCCCAATCCCTTATTTACTGCTTTCCCCGTATCTTTTTCTGCTTATGTGACTTGCCGAGAAGTTTAGTTTGTGGTTTCGGAGTGATTTGGATACTTAGTGCCTAAAGCGGAAGCTTAAGTTATAGGATTTTAACCATAGTCATAACTGTGTGAAGACGACTCCGGAATGGAGTTTCTTCTGTTTCGTTAGCTTTGTTGGGTGATTTTGGACTTAGGATCGTGTCCAGATTGTGAATCAAAGGTATGTAGCTGAATTAGGCTTGAAAACAAAAGTTGAATTTTTGGAAAGTTTGACCGGTAGTATACTTTTTGATATCGGGGTCGAATTCCGATCCCGAAAGTTGGAGTAGGTCGTAATGTCAATTATGACTTGTGTGCAAAATATGGGGGTCAATCGGACGTGATTTGATGGGTTTTGGCATCGGTTGTAGAAGTTTGATGTTTCAAGTTCATTAAGTTTGAATTAAAGTGTGATTCGTGTTTTTAGCGTTGTTTGATGTAATTTGAAGGCTCGACTAAGTTTGTATGATGTTTTAGGACTTGTTGGTATATTTGATTGAGGTCCCGGGGGCCTCCGGTGGATTCTGGGAGGTTAGCGGACTAGAATTGGACTTGTGAGTTGCTGAAGTGGGCATCAGCTGGTGTAATCGCACCTGCGGTGGGGTGACCGCAGGTGCGGACTCACACGTGCAGAAGGGAGCTCGCAGATGCCCCCTGGTCTGGGTAACCAATGGTCGCAGGTGCGACAAGAGGAGCGTAGAAGAGGAGCCGCTCCTGCAGGGGAGTGATCGTAGAAGCGGGAGCCGAGTGGGTGAGGACTTCGCACAAGCGGACCATTGTACGCAGGTGTGCACGCACAAGTGCGGCCACCTTATCACAGAAGTAGTCCCAGGCCTCTTAAGTCATTTCCACACCTGCGATAGAATTTTCGCAGTTGCGGCATCACTGGTACGGCTGAGGGTCCGCAGGTGCAAGATCACTGGCAGAAAAAGGCTAAGTTCGAGGATTTTATCCCATTTTTTATTTTGGGACTTTGAGAGCTTGGATTTGGGCAATAATTTGAAGGATCTTTAGAGGGAGCTATTGGATAACGATTCTTAACCCATTTATGGTTATATTCCACTAATCTATAGTTGATTTCATCATTTAATTAAGGACTTGGTTTGAGAAAATTGGGGAAAAACTTGGAAAGTTCTTCAACCAAGTTTTTGGGTATTGATTGGGATTTTGATATCAGATTTGAGTACTTTTGGTACAAGTGAACTCATGAGTGAACGGGTGTTCGTATTTTGTGACTTTTACCTGATTCTGAGACGTGGGCTCGGGTCGACTTTTTGGGGCAATTTTCTTATTTTGTTGCTTAAGCCTTGATTTCATTAATTAGATTAGTTTCTTATAGTTATATTTATGGTATGTAATTGCTTTTGGCTAGATTTGGGCTATTCAGAGTCGAAAAATTGTGGAAAGGGAATTCTTATTGATTGATTAAGCTTGGTTCGAGGTAAATGGCTTGCCTAACGTTGTGTAGGGGAAGTCCCCTTAGGATTGAGTACTGTTGTATTACTTCTGTGATATGTGAGCGCCGTGTATGTGAGGTAACGAGTGTGTACACGGGCTATTTGTTGTAAAATCCAATTCTTACTGAGTAATAACCTGTTTCATCTTAATTGAGTTATACCAACATGTGTAGTTATCATGTTTAGCCTAATATCGCATGTCTACGTGTCTTAAGTGCTTATTTGAACTTTGTGCAGCATGCTTAGTTGATTTCTTGTTTTTCCTTTATCTGTATTAATCTTAACTGTAGGATTCTTGCTGTTAATTGTTGTATTCATCGGTTTCGAGCTGTGTGTTTACTTTGGGACTACGAGGCAGTACCTCGGGAGATCCCCCAACACATTTGCTTTGAGACTACGAGGCGGTACCTCGGGAGATCTCCTGCACATTTACTTTTGAGACTACGAGGCGGTACCTTGGGAGATCTCCTTGCATATTTACTTTTGGGAATACTAGACGGAATCTCGGGAGATCCCCTGCTGTTTTATCCCTGTGTACTGTACTGTTATTTTTTCATCATTTCCTCTTTGTTAAATTCCAGTCTCTAATTACACTGCAATATTTTTCTACCTTATTTATTATATATACCAATAGGGCCCTGACTGACCT